ACGAACCAAAGATAATCATAATCAATCCTGCAGAGGTGAGGTCATTGACCTCTCAATCACAACACAAACAAACCACCCCATTAGTAAGGCCGGCAGGCCAATGACCCAAAAACCAGACCAAAGAAATATATAGCCTGTCAAACAGGAGGTAAAAATAGATACACTGCCATGTACCAACTGAGGTAAACACAGACCACACTACTATAAAATAGGGGTGATAATGTAGAAATCCTTTTAAATTAAGCAATACAAATATACGACAACCTGCTAATGCACTCTAAAACACAAAGAGACTCAACAACTACCCACATACCAAAAATTATACCAAACCATCCACCAGATTTTCCAAACATTCAACACAAAAAGACCAACGTTAAACATATTGTAAATATCAAACGCAAACAGCTAGGAAGCCCAAATTTAAACCACTAAACCATGGTAATAACAACTACATGCTACCTTAATATCGCACAAACAGTCCATAACGCGCAAACAACAGAATAAAAAAATTAAACTGCAGTACCAAGGTCAATCACCAGGGGCTCAAAGTCAACCTACACAATCTCCAAGGCCCCATCCATCAATCTGCCAAATATCGTACAGTTCCTTCTCACCGATCTTCAGATATCAGACCAACATGAAACGGAGTAAAACAATACCCCCATTTTCATGGAGGGTAATCAATGCGCGCGCATAATCGTACATGTATGTTAGCCTCTGGGTTGATACTATTAAATGATAGCGCCCAGCACCTGGGACCAACAGCTTCCTGCTTGATATGACTGCTCCTGATGTTAGTTTTTAACTCGTCACCCTGCTGCCTCTACTCCCTGCTGTGTACCACCTTTGTTAGCCGTCATACAGGCAAGGGCCCTGCCCTCCGCGTTCTAAAACTCACCAGCTTTGCTGCTAAAGTTCAGGTCGCGCCCCCTACCGGTTTACTCCGTTTCGGCAGTTTTACCGCATCTAAACCACCCTAACATGTTACAACCTGGCAAAATCAAAGAAGGAAACAACACATCACACAAATAATTAAACTTATAGTGACAATGATATGTTGTTTTTGTCCTGAGTGAAAAAAATGTTTTTTTTTGTGACGAAATTGGAAATTTGTGGGCCAAACAGTTGACTACCGTGATACGTTTGGATGCGGTACCAGCTGTTTCTGTCTGTACACACGGCTGTACATGTGCATACGGAGCTGCCAAGTTTACTACAAACACATTTGCAGGTATACTTTATTTCTTCTCACTAAATAATTTCTAACACTACAGCTTTAGATACCATTGCTATCTAATCAGTTAATTCCAACGTGAAGTAACATTTAAAACTGATGTGTAATTAAGTCTAAACGAACATTATGTGGGGAAGGGGGCGTAACGTTATACCAAGGAGGTTTAAAAATGTATTGTTCTTGGTTATACGGTTAACATGTTAATCTTGTTAATATAATCTTATGTTACAGGTGATATAACTGATGAAAAATAAAACTATTTCGGCATTTATGTTTAGATCAAGGCAGTCTAAACCTTACTTACTTGGATGTTGGAAAAAGAAATTGGTAATTCTGGTTTACATCATGCAAATTTTTTTCCACAGTAGGGAGGACTGGAAGTGAGTGGGTAGAGATTGGGTTTCAGTTGATTGACAGGGTTGCGAGTGGTACCTGATATAGTTTTCAAGGCTGTCAGAAATGTGTACTTTGTTATTGTCGCATGATATGTAAACCAAAAATCCATTCAATTTCTCTTTGTAATTAGTGTTGTGTACCGGTTCGCTGGACCGTTTCCGGACTTGTAAAAATGTTAAGGTTAAAGTAAAAAAAAAGCTTAAAGTCAAGAACCGATTCCGGACTAATAAAAAAAAAAATATGTCACATACTTTTCTTTCCAAAGCATGCACCTAAAACTTTCCATAGAAATTGCAATTCTGTGCTGCAAAATAAAGAAAACATTGCCATCCGGCATCGTCAAGTGTCGGCCTCCATGTTATGTGGCCAAAATTTTGCCCAAACATGCAATTTTGTACATGCCATGGGTTTAGGTCCGGACTTACAAGTCCGGAACTGAACCTAAACCTCTGGACTTGAATCCGGACCTGAACCTAAATGTGGGTTTAGGTACAGTCAGCACTAGATGTAATTCAGTTGGATATTTCCCCTTGATCATACAATGCAGTTTGAATACATTCAATGCAAGTCCATATTTGGGTCAGTTTGGTTACATGAATGCAAACCATATCTACTTGGCGAAAATTTGAAATCCCCAATTTCCTCTTTCGCAGACTGAAGGTGGATCCAAAAAGTTGCAGCTATGTCAGACTTCAGGATCAGAGAGCTGCAGTCAGAAGACTGCAGGGAGCTGGTCAACATGATCAAGGTAATCCAGAGGGGAGGGGGGCACTCTGATACTGATGAGGGTAGCCATGCCCGTAGCCAGGATTTTGAATGGTGGGGTTCTTCCCACTGCTTGAGGGGACCAGCGAGCGCCGTAGGCACAAGACGAGTGCCGAGGGCACGAAGTTCCTAGGGGGTCTGGAGGCATGCTCCCCTGGGAAATTTTGAAAAATGAACCTTCTGCATTTTTTAGAGGATTTCAAAGAAAAAATCAGAGATAAGAAACTTTTTTCAATGAAAAAGTGAGCCGTTTTCCTACGATTCCAGCCTCGCTGGTGACACAAATCATTCCATCTTTTAAAGACAAGAAAATCTTGGACCTTTAGATAAAAAGTGGATCAAAAAGTGGACTTTTGAGCC